TCGTAAAAAGAAAGATTTGAGCGACATAAATGTAAAGAGTAAAGTTCAAGTATTAGATATGTAAACATGTGGATGTTGTATGGTATGTATGTCATTGCCTCAATGTTAAAACTGTCTCAATGTTGTATATGTTAAGTCAAATAATTCAAGTCCATATATAGATAAAACTGCAAATGTCATTGCGGCTGAAAACCTTCCCCCATAATTTGAAAATTGGCACTAAAAGCCTTTGCAGCGCTAACAATTGCAGTCGTTTAAAACTCGTTGTAAGGCTTACCCGGTTGCAGCGAAGAATGCAAGAGGAATCATCAACTCCCACCCATTAATACTGATGCTGCACATCAGAAATGAATTTTATGAACAAAACATTCTGTTAATATGTTATACATTGTAAAAATAAGATAGATATAGAGAAATGGGTCACCATATGGAGAGGGCATCCACTGCAATTGCAGCATTCTTTATGTTTCCAGCAAGCACTATCAGTATTCTATAGTACCAGTTCTCCAAGCTGCATCAACAATTAAACAAATTGCATAAAATGATCTATGTAACATATGATTAGCTCAATTTTATAATAAAAGATTTGCATACATACCACTAAACTCCAATTTTTACAAATATATCATTTCACCAATACAAGGAAAAGTGTATTTCAGTTTTAAGAAGTTAAAAGGATGATACTATTGATAAGATATGAAATAGGGCTGTGAATTTGGCTCGAAGATCTTTTAATCGTTTGAAAATTGATTCAAATTTTTGCTCGGATCGAAATAAAGGAGCCGAGCTATGAGCTTTAATTTTGAATCGATTTTTTTCGAGCCATACACGGATCAACTCAAACTAGCTCGAGATTGGCCCGAATTTACAAAAATTATATATAATATTACAAAAATCAAATATGGCAGCTTACGAGTCGATTTTCAGCTGAAACGGATCCAAATAACTCAATTTGAACCATCTTACTTTGATTTCGAGCCAGATCGAGCCGATTTCGAGCTGAAATGGATCCAAATAACTCAACTTTGAGCCAACTAGTTTCAATTTCAAGCAGGATCAAGCTATATTCAAATTTTCAGCCAATCAAACTGGCCCAAAATCAAACCCATGAGCTGATTTCGATCCAAACTAAATCCATTATATCCATTAACAAATCTAATATGATATATATATATATATATGTATGTATGTAAAGGACACTAAATAAATATATATTACCAATATACCATACCATAGCATAACTCCTGAAGCCGCGGAAAGCTTCAAGAACTCCCACAGGCCATCAAAAGCCCGCATAGAAAACCCCATCCAAGTCTCCCCGCACCCACCGCAAATCACGAATCCCATGAGCAGCACCACCCCCAACCACCACGAGAAATTCAAAATCATCGCCGCACCAAACAGCCCATATCCGCAACGGTACACAAAAAGCCACGTGGCAATCAGATGAACGACCACCACCACAGCCGAAACGACGGCGTGGACCGCGTTCCTCAGCTGGCACTGTAAGAACCTCTGCAGCGGGAGGATGAAGACGAAGGAATAGTGAACGGGGATGAACCAGACGGAGAGTTTTCCGGCTGCCGCCGCGAGCTCCGGCGGGAGCTGGCTGAGAGGGGAGGCGTAGAAGTACATGGGGAGGAGGAGGGTGGCGCATGCGAATAATACGATCCACGAACGTTGCATGTAGGTCCCGAGCATGTGGTATTTCTTGGCTCCGAAGGCCTGCCCGCATAGAGTTTCCAGTGCGCTCGCCATGCCCAGCTGTTGGAGGTTGAGGAGAATCATGAGCTTGGAAAGTTGAAATTAATATATTATATTTGAATAGAATTAAATTAAGTGATTTTAATGAATCATAATTAATGGTTTAAGGTTCCATAATTAATGGTTTATGGTTGAATATGCAAGTATTGAGTTTAGATATATAAATACATAGGAATTGTGTGGTATTTATGTATGCCATATAGTTATTAGGTTTACATATAAATATGCAAGTAATGAGAATTTGGTGGTATGCACACAAATGCTCCTATGTGGCTATGTACATATGTACACACAAGTTTATGTGGTCAATATATATAAAATGATTACAAATCTATAGGGTTTAGGGCTTTACATTCAAATTAGATACCACTCAATTTAGTAGGAATAGTGAAGTAATTTAGTATTAAATTAACTTATTAATAAAAATTATTGACGAATTATTAGAGTTTCGACGATGCGAATCTCCCTTCTTCATTTGAATAAATATGGCACCTATTATTATTATTATTATTAAAAAAAATTATGAAATCATTGATTATTAAAATTTGGCTGTAATAGTGGAATAATTGCTAGGAAAACATCAGTTTATTATTGAGTGACATGATTCATAAATAATAATAATAATAGGTGTAATTACGTATAGACCACCCGAAAACTTGCAATTTACAAATCAACCATCCTCTTTCACCAATTTTGCTAATTCTTGCTAAAATAGCAAAATTCATGGCAAAATCTCAACCCGTATATTTCACTTCTATCAAATTTCTCGATAGTTTGGTCATAACACGTGTAAATACGTAGGTTCAGCAT